AAAACCACTAAACATTCACACTATATTGACTCTGCTGTGTTTAGTTTTGCTAATTGATTTCTTTTGGGTAAATCTCAGCAAAGAGGATTATTTTTTCCAGTGACTAGGTGACTTATTTTTTAAGATAACTTCCAATAAACAAAGATCAGCTTCTCAAAATAGGTTACCCATTACGGGGGTTGCTAGATATTCAATGGAGATTGGAAGCATGGGTCTGCACTCAATGAACTGACACCGTGTGTAAATGCCATTGCTGCTGGGTGTGCTCCATCGCCCCCCCAGCACCCAGCGGGTCTGGGCAGCCGTGAGGCGGCTGCAGCCATTTGTCAGGGACGGCTCCGCCATCTAGTGGAAAACACTCCGTCGGCATCAACATCCAAAACCCGTGGTTTCAAGACTCGGTGGGCAACTGCTGGACCTACCCGTCAGAAAAAAAAACCCAACACATTCCCTTCCAGCAGCATTGCCTCTTTCGACAGGTCTCTCTTCTGCTTGATCTATGGCAAAATATTGCCTCTAAGTTATCCTTACCTGTATCGGCTACTCCGTATTGATCCTCATTGATATCCAACTGTATTAAATAAACTGCTTCTGGAAGACATCAAAAGCTGTCGTGTCATAGGACTAGATTTAACATAAAGGAAACAAGCCCACCCTTGTTTTTTGAAGTGTATGGATACTATCTACCATAGCTTCCCGTAAGTGCTACCCCACACAAGTCTTAGCGGCATAAGGACCTGCTACTTCTGCCGCAGGCTCCAGAGGGGATCTTTTATGTCAAATTAATGCCGAAAGGTGCCTTTTCCCCCCGTTCTGTACCTGCGGTGTTACAGAACTAGAGGAGGGGCCGGGACAGGTCGGTCAGTTGGTTCCTTTCATTCCCTCAGCCATAAAGGAGGCCGGCCGTTATTCGCGGGGCAGGCAGCCGGCACCCCACCAAGGGCAGGGACCGGAGACGCGGGAGCGCGGACCCCACACTGCGGCCCAACAGCCGCAGGTGGGCCGCCTGGGACCACATTTCCCAGGTAGCTGCGGGGCGGGCGACACGCCCGCCTTCATTTCCCGCCTCTGCCGGGGGCTGCTGGGAGTTGTAGTAAGGGGAAGCAGGAAAAAGATGGCGTCGAAGATCCGCGTGGGGCTGCGGCCGGTGAAGAGTATCATGGTCCGCTTCTGTCCCTTCGAGTCCAACGTGGAGAGTACGAGGTGAGGGGGCTGCGGGGGCAGCGCCGCCCCCGGGGCGGGCTGGGCATGCTCTGTCTTTCGGGCCCGCCGCCGGCGGGGAGGCCTCGGCCGTGCTCCCGCATCTGTGCGCCCTTCCTGCGCCCGTGGGTTGTGTACGTTGCACTGCAGGCGTCAGGGCTGCACTCTTTGCCTTTTACTTTATTTATTTAAGGGGGCAAGAGGCTGGAGTCATATCAATTAACAGCCCTCAGGAGCTGGGCCGTGGGTTGAACTCTGGCTTGTGTCCGTAGTGCCCTAGGCCCTGCTGCGGAGTCCAGGCCTGGAGTGGCACAGGCCCGCTCCCCTCTGCCGTTGGAAGCTTGGAGGGCTCCCGAAGAGCAGAGAGAGCGGCAGTGGCAGATGCAAAACGAAGCCGTTAAAACTGCTGCCACTGCAGTGCCCAGAGCCTTGCTGTCACTGTAGCCAGCAAGAGTGAGATGATGTCCTGGGAGCAAATAATGAATCTGTTGTTCCATCTCTGGAGAAGAACCTCCTTTTCCCAAACTTCTGCATCCACTGTACCTTAACTTTCATTATCTTGATCTTTGAAGGCTTGCATTTATCAGGGCTTTCTAACTTAGCCTGGGCAGAACCTGAACGTTTCAGAATGAAAAGATACTGTGTTTGTCCTAAGGTCTCTGTTTATGGTATGTGTTACCAGGATCCACACAGCATTCATTCTGTGCTGATTTTTGGAGGTTCTCTGTGCCTAAGCATAGATCCTTGCATATAGGCATGTGCATTTAGCTTTACCAAACTAGCCTGGGAGATGCTCCTCTTAGTCACTGAGCCTGTATGTGAGGGTCTGTAATCACTAGTCCAAATGCTGGTAATGGGAGAGAGAGGGGGTAACAGCTGCTGCTCTATCTTGGTAATTAACTGTTGGAGAAATCAAAGTAATTCTACTTCTTGAGAGGTCTAAGTTCTGCACCAAACAATTGTAAAATGTCATTTTGCAATAGCTTTACAGACACATCTACTTTTGAAATGAACTTAGCAACACATCTTCACTTAGAATGTCTTTAAGCTGACAGAATGTCAAGTAGCTGTCATGCATTTCAGAAATCTGCGGAAGACCAATGATGTTAAATAAATAAATGCTGTCTCAAACCCAAACAATAAAACATTGGCAAGCAACCAGTGTATAAAGGAAAATTAAAATTACTTTGCTGATTTATTTTTATTATTGTTATTAACCCAGCTGAAACACACAAAGTACATACACTGAATTTTTGCAAAATTCCTTGGTATGCTTTTTACATGATAGCATATAAGGGGTATCCATTTGGATTTTTAAGAGTGATTATCTCATAAGAAGTGCCTCTCTAAAGTTATGAACTTATTTTGCTTATACTTTGGTTACCCAGCAATATCAAGATACTCAAATTAGTTTTAGAAGTATATTCATTATAATTTCTTTCTACAACATGCTTAATATATTTTCAAATATATTTTCAGAAAATTTCTTCAATGTATAAACCGTAAGAAAATCCAGGCCACTAATAGAAACTGTGAAGTGACTGCTGATGTGAGACATGATGGGTCTGAACCACTTGTACATGTTATGTTTGGTAAGGAGCTCATTTTTAATCTTTACAAAAAGCCCTTCCAGGTTTGTGTTCTTACACTGTTATTGTCTTGTCTAATGTTTTCTTTTAACTGTGGTTAATTGAGGTTTTTTTAGGTTCTGGCCCATAGCTAGATGATGTGCAGCTGGGAGAAAAGAAGGGCAGGGAGGGCACTAACAGCTTGTTGTCTAGATAAATGTGTATATATGACTTTGTACTACAGTTAGATGTGGTGGATCTTAGATCAATGAATTTTAGGGTTGAGTCTACTTTTGTACTTTTGTGACTTTGCAATCGGGTATAGTTTGAGGGAAGTAAGTGTAGCTCTGTTTTGATGTAAGAATGTGTTCACTTTCTGTAATTAATTGTTTTTTGTTATCTGTGGTGGAGGTCTCTCAGTCTTGAGAACAGAAAAGCTGAATACCTTTAGTTGCTTATGCACCCGAGTAACTTACCATGCAGTTTGAAGGAACAGCTCACATGGGTAAGACCATACATGTGCAGATGGAGTTGCATGGTGAGGTCAACTGATGTACAACAAATTTCTGGGTTTCCTTTGAGAGTGCAGTGAGCAGGCAGGGAATTGATGGTGGAAATTTCATCACTTCTGCAAGTGGCCCGCATTCTAGGCTGTGAACAGATGGCTCTAATCTGCTTTTTTCCTTTTCTCTGGCTGTACCTTCTTTCCTGCTGTGCTGTAATGGACCTATGTGTTATGTAGACCATTAAAGTTATCGTTATTATTGATTCTTGCTACCCCTTTTTCTTTAAACCTCCATATATTTAGTGAATTGGCAGAAATGTCAGGAGTGTTGAATGTACTTCATTTTGCTTAGGGAAGTCTGGCTATTTCAGTGTTGACATTACTTGTTTCTCCCTCTCCCATAGCTTTCTCTTTCTCATCCTTGTCTCTAGCTGTGATATGTTAAGACTTAAGCAGTAAAGCCTAATGTTTTTCACAATGTAAGACCAAAACAATTTATTTCACTAATGCCAAGAGCTACAGCTCTGAACTCTTCATTTTCTAAGAGCTGATTATTTTCCAAGTGAAGAGTTTGCAGCCTTTGTAGTTGGCAAACATGGGGCTGGAACTTGGATGCCATGCGTTATATGAGTTTGAATAGGGCTTTTGTATTTGCAAATCTTGCAAAACTAAGTAATTAACTTAGGTACAATACTTCTACTGCCTCCTCCCTGTTTTAAAATAATTTCTATCAGAATTTTAGGTATCCTAGTGCTCTCTACTTTTTTTACGTTATACCCACCAGAATGTGTAAACCATTTTGTTGTTTTGGCTAAAGAAGCTAAATGGACCACAGGCAACATGCTGCTAAAATGCTGAGCCATGTGTGGCAGTTGAGCCTTCCAGTGCCTTTTGTGTCTTCTATTAAATGAGTTTGAGGGCATAGTATGAGCCATTCTCATCAAATATGTGTTCTTATTATAGGTATATCTAGACAAATGTTTCAGATTTTTCTGTAGTGCAATACAGAGATGAAAATTATATATATATTGTGTGTTTAATATATTTGTTTAATGTATTTATTTGTTGGTGGTGCTTAGTCAGATTCCTCGGTAAGTGAGATACTTTCTGAACATACAAGATGAACAAGGTATTTTGATTTGTATATACAAAACAGAACTGCACACTAAAGTAATGTGACTTAGACTTTGTGACTTCTTACTTTTTTTTCCTTTTACAGCTGATGGAGAGCGATTGATAATGAAGGGAGCCAACTTGACGACAGTAGAAATGTTAACAGCATTGGGGTCCAGATGTAATGCAAAAGAGCTTAAGGAAGAACAGAAAGGCAAGAAGAATCCCTGAAGAACAGAAAATCAACTGTGTTTGCATCTACATATGTTAAAAACAGCAGGCTGCACAGAACGCTTTTCTCCTGTGCAACAAAATCTGAGAGAGAGATGGCCAAAACATGACCAGTTTAACATGCAGGAGAGTGAACCATTTGAATGTTCCCTGACTTCCCCTGAAGGAAAACATAATGGATCAACAAATCTTCTATCACTAGTGGGTCAGAGCGGCTTCAGATGCATGAATGTGTCTTTCTGAGCAGCTGCCTCTGTCATCAGTGTGTTGGACTAATATCACATGTATTTGCAAATAAATGTGAATAATGCACAGTAGCTATTAAATTGATATTACAGTGAAGACAGATGTCTTTGAACATTATTTCATATAAATTTTCTATACAGTAGATTGCAAAATATTATTAGAGTGATTAATATTTTTGAAACTTATTCAGTACTAAATCTGAAGAAAACTTTGAAAGTATTTATCATTGACTTAGGTGAGGGACAGCAAGCTGCAAATACAGAGTGAATTTTGTAATACTATGTTTAGAATATGCCTGTTGCTAACTCTCTGCTATTTTCTTCCTTTCTTTTTCAAGGAAGTGTGAAATTTGCTAGGTGTAAATTTAGCTTGGCAATTAAAAACAACAAGGTAATGGGACTGTGAACACAGTAGAACTACTTATCTTGCATAAAAGTAGCTAAGTTTAGCTCAAAGGGAAAGGTAAGTTAGTATTTTTGATAATTGGAGAAAAGGACTATCTTTGAAGTTCGGTTTTGTAATATTTTTGTCACTCACTTTTGGGAGATTTCATTAAATATTCTATAAAGATCAAAGGGAGAGCTTTATCTGGTGTTTATAGTCCTATGTACAACCCTGTTATTTGTTAAAGTAAGTGCTTAGGTGTCTCATCTGTGTTACAAAAGCTCTGTGGGTTTGGGAGGGTTGATCTCTCCTCAGGCTGTGCAGGGGAAGGTGTCAACTGCACACGTATTTCACATGCATTGGTTTTATTCTAGTTTAATTCATAATGAAAATGTATTTAAAGTTTCAGTTATGAGAACTGCAGGTGCAGTACTGCTGAGAAGTATTAGTTCTACCTGATGTTAATCAGATGCCTGACTCTTATGAAATTGTAGTATATGTATTTCCAAGGCTAATTTGGCAGCAGATTTAGGCCACAAATCTGAAACTAGTTTTACCTTACTTCTGCTGAGATTTGTAAATGGACACTGTCCTTTCTGAAAGCAACATTGTTTTAAATAGCACTGTCAAGGTAATGCTTTGTAACTTCTTTGCCAGGAGACTGAATTCAAGGTGATACCTTATGTTGGAGAAGCAGAGCTGTGCTAAAGGAGTTTGATGATATTTTATGGTCACCTCCTTCATGTGTTTGCAACAAATAGAGTGAGATAATATGATTGGGGCAGATGAGTCAGTGAAATTTAGATGGAACAATAGATGTGAATGACTTGGTCTTTCTCTGCAGCCTGTTATCCTTCTTTTTATTAGGCCACTAGCTCTTCTGAGTTGTTTCAGAGTGCTGAGCTCTTGAACCTGCTACTGAGCTCCCTTCTAGTGGAGGAGTTACAAGAACATCTGAAACAGAGAGGATTTAAATCCTGTCAAGCTAGGAGAGTAGCCTAGAAAGTGGACTGAATAGAAATAAGGCCGTTCAAAGGACAGTTTTAGTTTCTTTCTTCCCCTCCCTGCCAGTTTAAAACAACATTGTATAGCATGACTTTACCTGAAGAAGCCTTACAGGGAAAGTGAGAATTGTGGAAAAACATTGCAGAATTATTAATTCCCTGGTTAATCATGTATTCATATGTTTAAAAGCCTCTTACTGTAATATGTCAGTGACTCGTGTGACTTTTTATTTCTTTAGTTTTTGCTCTGACAGTTTGTATGATGTCAGTGTGTAAAATTTGTGTTTAAATGTGAAGTACTTGCATCCATCTTAAATTATTAGAATCATAGAACAGTATTATAGAATCGTTCAGGTTGGAAAACACTTAAGATCATCAAGTCCAGCTGTTAATCTAGCACTGCCAAGTCCACCACTAAGCCATGTTCCTAAGCACCACATCTGCCTGTCTTGTAAATACCTCCAGGGATGGTAGTGACTCCACTATGCCCTGGGCAGCCTATTCCAGTGCTTGACAACCCTTTTAATGAGAAAATTCCTTCTAATATCCAATCTAAACTTCCCCTGGCACAACTTCAGGCCATTTCCTCTTACCCTATCACTTGTTACTTGAGAGAACAGACTGACACCCACCTCTTTACAACCTCCTTTCAGGCAGTTGTAAAGAGCAGTATTCCCCTGAGCTTCCTTTTCTCCAGGCTAAACAAGTGCCTCAGCTAAGACTTGTGCCTGAGACCACTCACCAGCTTCATTACCATTCTCTGGATGCGCTCCAGCACCTCAGTGTCTTGTAGTGAGGGGCCCATCTGTAAGTACATAAAAGAGTAAAACAGGGGTTAAGTAATACCAAGTTCCTGTAGCGTTTACATTGGCCCAATATTGGGGTTTATATTTATGAAAAGGGAGAAAACTGAAGATCCTAGTTCATGCTTTTTATAGCCAGAATAAATCCTCTCTGCTGTTGAAGAAAGGTGATTTTTTTCTACTCTATTCACATGAATGAGCATCCTGCTGTAAAGACACTCTCACTAAGTGCTTTTGTTTTAACCCAGAGATGCCTGATGTTTTTGTGGAGGTTAGGCCAAAGTCCTGTAACATAGCCATTGAGAGACGACTGACAATTCAGTGGATGAGGTATTGGCTGATGCTGCTTTTGCTGTGTGCACTAGTAGCTGCAATTTGCACTGGTAAAACTCTGATCTGTTTTGTGTGTCAAAAAGAAGTAATGACTAGGATTCAAATATGTAAAATATAAAGGAAAACATCAAGCATAGAAAAATAAAACTAAAAATGTGCATTCTCAAAACAACAAGATATTGAAGTGATATAAACAATACAGGGAAAGAAACCTCTGGTAATGACTATGCTAATATGTAGAAAATTGCTCTCCCTGTACCATGTAGATAAAGGTACAAATTTATTTTTTCAAGTATGTTTTGAGTCAATCTTTAATGAATTTCTTCTCTAAGCATACAGATAACTTTGCCGCAAGCTGTTCGTGCAGCATCAATTGCTGCTGCTGTCTGATTGAAACAAAGCTGAGGACCTGCTGCTCTGACAGCTTCCTGACATGCATGGCCTGGGCTGTGAATGCGGAGGGTATTAAGGTCAGTCATGCAGAACAATGCGGGGCTGGGTGAGCATTGACTTTGCACGTTATTTGCTAGCCCGCTAATCTAGATTAATGTACCCCACCAAAAATTTGGCCGCTTGCTAAATAGAAAAGGAGCTGGAACAGACCCTCCAAGCACTAGGATGAAAACACAATGTCCATGTAGTGTGTCTGATAACAGATGATATGAAAATATTTATATTTTTAGTACCTGGGAATTTAAAACAATGGTTGGTATCATAGACCTGTTTATCGTATAAGTAGCTAAACATTTAGAGGTTTTTGTCAACACGTAAGGGAAAAGAGTCCTGAACCAGATGAATGTGTCATTCAGGTAACACTAGCTGGTCAGAGTACTCCTATTTTACCTATCTGCAGCACTGTTTTTAGATAAAGAGAATGGTATCTTTATTAATGATTTCAACCAGGAGCAGTGGTGTTAGTGAACATTTCCACAGCAAGTTTTAACTGCTAGCTAACCCAAAGAAGAATAAAATGTCAATGTCCTGATATCTTTTTTTGCAAAGTAGAAACAAATAGAAATATGCTGTCAGAGGTAGTTCATGCATGCCGCTGCAAATTCTGTTGTTATTTGAGGGGATCTCAATTTGGGCAATTTCATGCTACATGTTGTAGGAAAAACTGGGTGCAATGCAGTATTGCTGTGCAAACCTCACTTGAGGAGTGGAAGTTGCTTAAAATTTCAATTATTTTGAAACTGTTATAATCTAATATGTTTTTGCTGTTTGTGAGCATGCAAAAGGTGTCATCTACTAATTTCAGAAAATTGCCCATGAGTATTTGCCCTGTTGAATGTGGAAGAATGCATTCATTTTGGTTGGCTTTTCCTAGTTCTTCACCTCTGCTATATATGAATTTTGAATGACCAAGTTTATATGGTGTAAGAATGAAAAAAAATTTAAAAATTAAATATCCTTGGACTGTATTTAACAGTTCTCAAGATTTTTGCTCCCAAATGTCTTTTCTGCATGGGTACCCTCCCTGTGCAGGTGTGCGCACCCCTTGTAGTTTAAGAATTGTTGGCTTACTGCCCACCTCATAAACTACGTGTGTGACCAGTTTCCCTGGATGCCAAGTGGTTTGGAGTCACCTTCAGACTGACAGGTCACCCCTCAGCTGTGCCTCTTAGCTGCACTTCCCTCCCCTCCCTTATTCTCCTGGCCTAACAGTCTTTTTCCTTCCTGATGCTGTTTACTCTGGTCCAGTCTCTCCTTTTCCCTCTGGAAGGCCTGAGTCACTCTTCTGACACTTTTTTATTGTCTGCCAAGAGCTTGCAGTAGCTTCAAGCAGCCCAAATGCTTTGCTTCTGGCTAGCAGACCACTACTTGTTCTCTTTTCCCCTCAGCCTCACTCTGCGCTGAGAAATGTTGGGACAGAGCAGTGTGAATGGTTAGAGGTGCCGCTTTGCTTCTGAATGACTTACTTAACAAATCATGTTTGCTTTGAGCTGGGCTTCTCAAGACTTTACGAAAGGAAGCCTGTGCCCAGGTATACATGTTAGAGGTGTGAGAGCAAAGGAATTGGCAACCTGTTTTGATTGTGTCTCATTAAGTTTCTAAGTGGTACTTGAAAGCAGATTTAAGGCGAGTGTAGAGACTGCTTGGCTTAAAGCAGTCTCCTATGTCCTAGCAGTGATGCCAACAGAGGTTAATAGCATATCAAAGGAGATACCTGCATTGTGCTTCATTGGATGAGTCAGGCTTGACTTGCCTGCATATGGAAAGAACATTTCTTTAAGACAAAACAGATGGAAAAGTGGACCAGAAGACCTGTTTGTGAAGGGAATTCTTGGTCAGTAAGAGCAAAGCCTGGGAAAGTCCTTCATGGACAGGTTTTCTCAACTCCGACTGATAGTCCCTGCAG